TAGATGTAAAACAACTTCCTTCAAGTGGCGCCTTTGACATAAAAATTGGTGGAAAGACCAATGGCTGCTCGGCCCAAAATGTTACTTGTGCCGCCTGTCGGATGGCCCTGTCACAGAAGGCGCTTCCAGGTATTTGCAAATAACGAAGAATGAAGTGTCCCTCTTGCTCCACTGCCTCTCTTTCTTTCTCTCTCTCTCAACAGAGTCGAAGAGCTCACAACATAGATTTAAAGGGAGCTGTAGTCATACTTGACGAAGCTCACAATGTGGTAAGTAAAACCACAGCCGATGATTCTCCTTCTTTTTTTTTTTTTTTTAGCCCCACATCCATGTTAGAATTCTAATAATTCTAGCTGGTTGCTTCAAAAAAAGAATCACTGGTGTCAAAAAGTTGGAGACTCAACTTTGAGTCAAACAGAATGTAAACATTCAGAACAAAAACAACGACGACGAGGGGTCAGAGGTATGGCTTCTTCACAGAGGGAAATGCATTTTTTACTCCATTGCCATGTGGAATTTGCATAGCTTCCCGTCATCATTTAGTGGTTTGTGAGGTCTATCTGTTAAAGAAATTCCCAACCTTATGGGCTTCTGTAGTTCTTAAGGCACATCACTGTTTATCGGCTATGTTTGACCTTATTGCCCACAAAGTCTACATTGAAGGCTCTTGGAATATAATCAAGTGGACTACATAGGTGCACAGTCTAATTTGATTTGCATCATCTTTTGAGGTCATCTTTAGCATACTGCGTTTTTTCAGGTTTTATTGTGCCTGCAGAAGACAGAAACCTAGCAGTCACACAGGTAAGAGCTGAAGGAGGCGGCCAGGCAGTTATGTTGGAGCGTAGATCTGGGCTTCTTCCAGACAACTTGTCTTGCTTCCAAATTGGCTGTCCCTGGTGCTGTTTTACAAGGTCACTGGAAATATGTATAGTCCAGTTTACAGAGCAGATCATTTTCATTCTAGCTTGCATTAGGTAATTAAGCATTTTTCATCTTTTCCTATCATTGTTAGTTCTTGCTCATGTCTTCTTTGTTTAAACAGTTACTTGAAAATGATTATCATTTTGAAAATTAGCATTATTATAGGTTGTTTTTAGTTTTAGATAATAATGTGTACTCTTGGAAAACATATCAGCACGTAGTAAACACAAAGTGGACACGTTGCATGGTTTCTCATTTTCTCTAGTTCTGGTAACTACCCTCTGGAAATACCTATACTGTAAATCTGTGTTCCTGGGATTTTTAATTTACTATTTTTAGCCAGCAGATGAGTGAATCAGTGGATTCTGATCCTCCCAGATTTATTTATTTTTTATTTTATTAGTTTTATTTATATGCTGCATTTTTCCCAACAAGGGACCCAAAGTGGCTCGCAGCATTAAAATTCACACTATTTAAAAACACAGTAAGTTAAATATTGAAAGTTAAATTAAACAATATATGGATTAAAATAAAATTAAAGGATTAAAACATGCAAACATGAAAAAGATTAAAATTATCTGCTAAAATGTGGTTCAGGGATTCAGTTGTAACTCTTAAAAACCTGCCTGAAGAGATGGGTCTTTAGTTTTTTTCGGAAGGATAAAAGGGAAGGGGCCATCCTGATCTCCCGAGGGAGAGCGTTCCATCGCCTGGGAGCGGCCACCGAGAAGGCCCTCTCCCGTGTCCCCATCAGTTGTGCTGGCAATGGGACCGAGAGGAGCGTCTCCTCTGCTGATCTTAAGCGCCGAGGAGGCGCATATAGGGAGATAGGGTCCTTCAGGTAGCCAAGCTGTAGAGGGCTTTATAGGTCATGGCCAGCACTTTGAATTGGGCTCAGAAACGGACTGGTAGCCAGTGCAGTTCTTGTAACAGGTGCGTCATAGGCTCCCTGTCGCTGGCCCCAGTCAGTCGTCTGGCTGCAAAGTTTTGCACCAGCTCAGGTTTCCGGACTGTCTTCAAAGGCAGCCCCATATACAGTAATCCAAACAGGATGTAACTGAGGCATGTGTCACTGTAGCCAAATCCGACATGTCAAGGAGTGGGCCCAGCTGGCACACCAGCTTTAGCTGTGCAAATGCACTCCTGGCCACCGCCGAGACCTGAGCATGCAAGCTTAGGGATGAATCCAGGAGTAGACCGAAGCTGCAGATCTGAGTTTTCAGGGGGAGTGAAACTCCCTCCAGCACAGGTAGTAATCCTATTCTCTCATCCGATTGGTTTTGTGTCTCAGTACTGTACTGACAGTACGTGTGCCGGTGCTGCTAATATTCTAAAATACAAATGCGATGTTTTGTTTTCTTTCTTAGGAGAGGTTGTGCGAAGAGATGGCGTCATTTGACTTGACTCCTTACGACTTGGCTTCAGCTGTAGACGCCATCAACATCGTCCTGGAAGAACAAACCAGAAAAGTTCAGCAGAATGAATTCACCTTTGAGTTTGGCGCAGAGCAGGGAAACTCGGGTACATTGTCTGAATCCATCAATGGTGGATAGAGTACAGGGAGGATTTTATCGGCTGCTTGCTTTGGACGTGATACTGTGGTTCTTCAGTTAATCTTTAGGAAGATTGGTTTGATTGCTAGGCAGTTGATAAATTAGGGGCACCGAGCAAAATCCTCTTGGTGCATCTTTTTTATAAGCCCCTGTAGAAAGAGAAGAGAGAGGATGAAAACACAGAAGTGCTTTATAGTAACGTAGTTTGGGGTAATGCTGGTGAGGTTTTTGCAGGGCAGTGTGCTAGAGTTTTCTGGAAGAGCACTGCGTGTACTTTAAGGTAAATGAAAAACTAAAACATTGCCCCTAAAATCAAATGCATTGCACTGTTTTTTAATCAGCCCATGTAATGTTGATTTTTATGACTCGGGTTTTTAAAAATTGGATGTGAAAAGTTTTTTGGAGGGGCAGGTAAGGAGGAGGAGATGTTAGAATGAAATGAAAAAGAACAGGATGTTCTCCCCCCCCTTCCCATGCTGTTTTATTCATTTTAAAATGCACACATGTTCACATGCCAAACAGAGGAAAAGTGGATAAACAATGTGAATTTGTCCTCTCAGTCCAGTGCTTACCCGTCTCCAACCCACCCCTGGCAGAAGGGATAACAGGCCCCCTTTTCTCCCTGCTACCTCATTTTTTAAGAGGAAGAACAGGGGTCTTGCATCCTGGTGGGCTGTTGAAACAATCCCATCCCAAAATCTCTACCTGTTGTTCCCCAAAGAGCAGGCCATAAATCAGAGGTATAATAAACCCTCTAGAGCAGAGGTCCCCAACCTCCCGGTCTGCGGCCCAGTGCCGGTCCGTGGCCTGAGCTGGACCAGGCTGTGGAGACAGATCTCCCCCCCAGCCCCGCACGCATTCCCCCCCGCACAGCCCCTTTGCACATGACAGTGCTCCTGAGCGCTGCCCTGCCCTTTGCACATGCGTGTGAGTGCCGCACCGCCCTTTGTGCACGAGCACGCCCGTCCGCACGAGCACCCTCCCACTCCTTCGCACATGTGCACGAGTGCGGGGCGGATACCGCGCCTTCCCCAACCGGTCAGCGGGGTTAAAAAGGTTGGGGACCCCTGCTCTAGAGGGAGGCAGGCTTCTATTGTTTGTGTCATCCTTTGCGGTCCTTTTGATGACAAAAGTAGAGAGAACGGTACGGGCCGTAGACAGAAGGTTCCCGGTGGGGGCGAGCGATTTGGGGAAAGAGGAAGGAAAGGTACTGGTGTGCACCAGGAAATTGGGTCCGTGTTTTAGGGTGTTATATCGGACAAAAGGCCCAGAACCCTGTTTGTCTCACGGAGACCACCCAGATTCTTCTGGGGAATCCTCTCCCCATGGTTCCTTTCCAGTTCCTCTATTAAGTGACATCCTACCTGTGGCTGTGGTGGACCTTATGAAGGAGTGATCTTCCTACATGTCTTTCAATTAAAGCCTTGCTCCTCTCTTGCTAGCTTTAGCTTCCTTATTTTCTTTATTCACAAAAACATGAGAAGATTGCACAGTGATCTTTGGAGGGTAACTGACAGTAGAGCTGTTATACAGCCCCTTTTGAAGGGTCTGTGTCTGCTGATTGTCTGACCACTTAACATCCAGGACTTAGTGGATTTCACCCTTCGTGAAGTATCCTGAGCCATCGTATACGGCTCCTTCGTACCATTCTGCAGCTTCATCTCAGCTGCCCCCTCTGCCAGGGTCTGCCAATCAACGGCAGTTCTAGTTTTGCATACTGTTGTTCACCTTCCAAGCTGTTCGCTGAGAGTGAGTCATTGGCCCACTGGTCTTGAAGACCATGTGCGGTCTAAGTGGAATGGTGGTTTTCTCCTCTGATGAGTGCAAAGTCTGGGGGCCGAGTCTGTAAATTCTCCATCACAGTGCTTTGCACCCTCCTGTGCCCTCTTTCCTCCCTCTGCTGCTAGAATATGAAAATAAAGCCCAGGAAGCACGCTGCCGGTGGCACCCTTGGGTTGTAGTTTGAAAAAATACATTAGTGTGTGCTTTGATACTCACTTCCACATGGATGCCTGAAAGTGTGAGGAGGGAATATTGGGTGGCCGGGAGGACGGGGACCTGGCCTAAGATTAGAATGAATACAAATTAAGTTTTTTTCCTGAAACAGGTCTAAACATGGAGCTTGAAGACATAGCAAAGATAAAGAGTAAGTATTAGTTTCACCTTTTTCTGTAGAGCAGTTTTACAACGGGCTTTGGGAACGAGTCACTTGATGTTCGACTGGGAGGGTTGTGTAGCTGAAGACTTTTCTATATGTCGGGTTTCATCTGATTGATGCCTTGTTTGTGCTGCTTAAATTGTCAGCTGAGACAGTAACTGAAAACTGAGTCTGGAACACTGTTCAAAGAGCCCAAACGGAGGCATTTGGCGGCTTCTTTCATGCATTTATGGAAATAAAATGTACAAGCATGGATGTAGATTCCTAAACAGTAGCTTGAGTGAAACATCCATGGTGGATGAGAACGATTAGCCAATTTGCTGGTACCTTGTTGAATACCAAGGAGGCTTCATGTTTATGTATCCTGAGCTAGGGAGCTTATCTTCGTTTGCATATTTTAATTGCCTTTAAATGTAATTTGCATATCGTTTTTATAACTCTAACAGATGGCAAACCACAGGTCGACATCAGCTCTGCTTGGTCTGTAGTGTTCTTATTGAAAAATGCGTTGCCCACAAATACAAGCATCTTTCATCATCTCTTGGAAAGACCCTTCGTGTGACAATTAGCAAACATACAGAGATCGGACTTCATGTTGCTTGTTACTGAACCTTCTTTCATATGCCCTTTAATTTTTTTATTAAGTTTATCAGTGTCCTCACCCATGAGAACTAGAAATTACCATTTAAAATTCCTTAAACAAGGATTGGCTATTCCCCCCCCCCAAAAAAATACTAGCAAGCCAATCAGAAACTCAAGAATGCCTTTGTGTTTTCCACTCCTAGTTTGCGTGACTCCTTTGACCATTTTAAAGATTTGGTGGGGTAAGAGATTTGAGCTGTAATTTAGTTTATTCGCTCCCCCCCCAAAAAAAATTTCTATCCTACTTTTCAACAACCAAGCCTCCGAGATAGCCTTGCAGCATAAATGGAGCAGTTCAGCCGACCCATCACTTCGCTTCTGGAATTGGATCCACAGAACATTTTGGCCAGAAAATCTTTCAAAACAGTGGCCCTCCCATTATGGTGATTTTACCAGCCACATCTGTGCTCCCCTCACTTTCTCTTTGTTTGCCTTAAAGGGATTCTTCTTCAACTGGAAAATGAAATAGATGCTGTAGAGCTACCACCAACAGGAAGTGGACTTACTAAAGATGGAATGTATGTTCCAGGGATTGTAACAGCTCTCTTGAGTTCACGTTTTAAAAAAAATATTATTATTGTGTGTTTGTTTTCAGACATTTGTGGTGCTGCTTGTCTTTTGTAGTACTGTTGGACCATGGTATTCATGAGGAATTATTTTCCCCCCACCCCGTGAATGCAAAAAATGCAGAAGTATAGAACACTATAAATTGTGTTGTCCCTTGCTCCCTCTAGTGGCCAGTTCTGGTAAATACACCTTGGAAATTCAAGTTAATCAATGTTTATGGGGTTTTTTATTTTAATATTTTCAGATAGTGAATAAGTGAATCATCAGATACTGATTCTGTGAATGCCATGGTCCTGCTATACTGTTTGTGTTGAAGATGGGAGGGGAGTGCCTGTGGGTGCAAACAGCCGGCTATTCTTCAGTTGTTGTTCATGCAAACAAGCAGTTGAGTTGCAGACAAAGGAAATTTCAAATTGCAAATTTTTTTCCAAGCAACAGGGAAGAGGATTAGACTTGGACCAATGAGGTTTGTTTTAACACTTCTGTTCAGCTATGGCATTCACTGAGTGACCTTAGCTGGACATTATACAGGGCTCCGGAAAGAACAGTGCTTAAACTAGGAGTCAGATTTCTCCTCGGTCATGAAATACCTTTTGCCATCACTTCACCTGTCCCACGCAATTACTAGGATGTTGTAGAGGAGAGCATGTGTGGAGTAAATGTGAGATATAGGTGTAACAGAATTATGAGCCTCCCCACTGTAGCAGGAAGGATCCTTCCTTGAAAGAAGTGTTGAAAATGTTTATCATATAATAAAACTAAGTCCCTTGACTTCAGTCAAGTTGCCACGTCTTGTATAGGAATTTTGGTTTTGAATTTAAAAAGTAAATTAGCCCTCAACCTTATGGAGACTTAAAAATCTAGCTGTTAGCTTTTCCTCTACAGTTCTGTGAGTGTGATAAGCCGTTGGTCCAACTCACTGTACTCTGGGAGATTAAAAGTTGAAGTATGCCTGACAGATAGCTGGTTTATAACCTCTGCTTGAAAACCTCCGTGTCTCAATGTTTAGAGTGAACCCATTTTCTTGCAGTTTTAATCCAGCTGTTTGAGTTACTGAAGATCAGGTGTTCTTCTTTGCCTTTACAGCTACATATTTGAACTGTTCGCAAAGGCTCAGATCACCTACCAAACCCAAAGTTCTCTCCTCGATTCGCTGGAACAAATTGTGCAATATTTAACAGGCCGTAAGTGTATTCTTCATTGTTTGGAAAAAATTGTGAGGCATGAGAAAGTTTGGAAATAATATTGTATTTTGAGAAAATGCAGGGTTATGTTATCTGTAACGAATAGGAATGAATTTCCTTTAAAGCAGGGGTAGGCGAGTGTGGTTGTGACTTGCAGCATCCTTTCCACTGCTTTGGATGAAGCTGATGGTAGTTGTAGTCCAGCTAGATCTGGAGGGCGTACTTGCCCGCTGCTGCCGTAAAGGATCATGTGCGCTCTCTGAGTTGCTAACTGATCCATCTTTGTCATTGGAGGCTGAGGTCAACCTTTGTGACTTGAGATCCCCTTGATCCGTTTGAGCAGGTATGCCAGCTGTAACCCCCCTGGAGTGAAACAACCCGGCTGTAGTCACTACTGTTGTAATAGCCTCCCGTTCAATTGACTGCAAGACGTGATCCATGGGTCCGCTTTTAAAGACAGCTGAGAAAATGCAGTTGATCCAAAATGAGGATTAGTTGAAGAATTAACTGAGACTAGGCAGTTGCACCATAAGATGTCTGCTTTATTAGCTGAATCAGCTCCTGGACCACTTCAGTTATGAATTTAAAGTAACCTTTTACCTTTAAAATGCCTAAGAACTTGGGATCAGCTTACCTGACAGATCACATAAATTTTTGTATACCTAATGTGGGAATGGGCAGATCAGAAGTTTTCAAGGGCCATTATTCAGGCTTTCCAGCATCTTGAAATTTGCACTTCCTGAGAAAATAGCCAAAGTCTGAGTGGTGTGACCAAATTGGCTAATTAATTCTTAATGTTGAACCCAATAGCTAAATAGAAATTTTCATAGGTTACAATGATTAATTTGCTGTGCTTTTATTACCTTTTATTTTAAGACATAATAAGTTTGCAACAAGGTTTTGTTAAGGTTTCTCATTTAAATTAAAGCTTTAACAAAGGCTTTAATATGTTAAAGATTTTAAAAAGCAACAGAACTGTTGCTTTAACGGCTTCCCCCGTTAAAGGACTCTGATGCAGCTTTCTGGTCAGTCTTGCAGCTTCTACAAGCCGCAGCTTCCCCGTTAAAGGACTCTGATGCAGCTTTCTGGTCAGTCTTGCAGCTTCTAGATGTTTAGCTAGTGTGGTTTCACTTACTTCATAGTTAAAGGTAGATTACCACTTTTGGTTTTTGTTAAATGTCCCTGTCCCTTTCCCTTAGTATCTTAATTGTATGGAAGCTTTCAGTTGCTATATTCATTTCCCAGGATGTGGCTCCTCTGTTGATTGGGTTGTTTCTGTTAGTTCCAGAAGTCTCATTCCAGGAAATAAACATGGAGATGGGTAATTAACAGAAAAGCCACAAATTGCAGCATTGATGCTTTTGTCTTTAAAAACCCTTGGGAGGCCACTGAGAACGGCTTGGAGGGTTGCCTGGAGCTTGCAGGCCAGAATTCTGACTCAAGAGAATCATAATCCTCTTCCAAGGGACCTCTTTGTACCCAAAGGTTTTTCTGTGGTCTGAAATTTGACAGCAGGGGTTCATGTTTTCATCCTGCTGGATCTGAATCTCTGTTAAAGCAACAGGCCTTGTACCTTTGCAAGTTCCCCCAGCCACATTGTTTTTGCTTTTTTCAACACCTTTTCTGTCTACCCCATGTTGTTCAAAGAGTGGTGATTAGACCTGGATGCAGAATTTCAAGTGTACTTTGCATCATAGCTTTTGTAGAATGGCTGTGTGATATGGGTAGGTTTTTGTTTGGATACATTTCTTAATCAATCTCCAATATGAAATGTTGCTTTTTTCCTATTAGGTTGACATTTTCAACAACCTGTCCACAATAATAGCATCCCCTTTCTGGCTAGTTTAGATGCCATGAACATCTGTTGGGAAGTTGGGATTACATCCACCCTCTGCCTCTGCATAACTTTATGCTTGTTTACATTGAACCACATTAGTCATTTTAATATGTACCGTGTTTCCCCGAAGACAAGACAGGGTATATTAATTTTTGCTTCGAAAATGCTTTATACAGTCATGTCATCTTCTTCCGGTTGCTGCCCAGTGGTGGAGGGTGGGGTTTGCCTTCACTGGGGCTTATTTTTTGGGAAACAGTGTATTCCCCCAGTTTGAAGGAATCTCTCTGAACTTCTGCAAATCCTTTTCATCCGTCTGAAAGATACGGTGTATTCCCCCAATTTGAAGGAATCTCTCTGAACTTCTGCAAATCCTTTTCATCCGTCTGAAAGATACGGTTGATCAGAAAACCTGGCAGCCTCTATGTTTACCAGGAATCCAAACTTTTTGCAGACATTCATCCCCAATACAGATCCTTATACTAAAGCATATTTGCCAGTATTTGTGAACTTGAAATTAATATTCAACTTTTTGCCATCTAAAATACCTCCCAAATATTGTACATCTGTACATGACAGAGGCAAGATATATTGTCTTCTGACAGCAATTTGAGGAAATGTGAAATTGATATTTCTGTATGAAGTTGGCATCTAAAACACCTCACAAATATTGCACATCTGTAGATGACAGAGGCGAGATATATTGTCTTCTGACAGCAATTTGTGGAAATGTGAAATTGATATTTCTGTATGAAAATGTACATGGAGCAAATTTCTTATTCACTCCTAATTGACACACATCAAAACGTTTTATCACTCATATTTACTTCTCTCCCTCTTGTTTGTTCTCCCTCACTAGGTACTGGGATATTCACCAACACGGCTGGGTTGCATAAATTGACAGACATAATCCAGGTAAATGTTTGCTGCTTCCCGTCTTGCAGAATGAGGGCCTGATCCAGCAGGGCTCTTACGTTCTCATGCTGTTCCGAGAGTAGTACAGACTCAGGGTTAATTTCTGAAGCTCCGTCATGGGATTCTGAAAGTACCTTCATGAAGTTCAGGCTGTAAATGTGGGGCAAGATGGCTATTAAGAGAGACTGGGATGGTCAAAATTAAAAGTTCTGATGCAATCCCATATTCAGCCTGCTGAAGTGTGCAGCTAGGATAGAGTAGGCCTACCTGAACAAAGGACCTGTTGTAGTTGTGTAATGACATGACATACAGTATACAGTGGTACCTCGCTAGACGACCTAGTAAAACGACGAATCCGCATGGCGATGAGGTTTTGTGATCGCTATAGCGATTCACAAAACATGATTCCAATGGGGGATTTTCGCTGGACGATGATTTGGTCCGTGCTTCACGGACCGTTTATTCGCAAGACGACGATTTTTACAGCTGATTGGCGGCTTCGCAAAATGGCTTCCCTGTGTTTTTGGGATCCATGCTTCGCAGGATAGCCATTTTAACAACTGATCGGCACTCACAAAATGGCTTCCCTATGGGCAATCTTCACAGGACAACGATGTATTTTCTCCATTGGAACATATTAAACGGGTTTCAACGCATTCCAATGGGAAAACAGATTTTGCATGACGGGGCACCACTGTATATATTTACACAATATAATGATAGAGTTAGTGGTATTAAAGAGTTAGTCACTTGTGGTCGCATGTGCCCTGATGATGCATGACAATTGCTTTCCAAAAGACCAATACATTGTTTTACTTGCGTTATTCTGAGGATTTATCGCAATCCAATGACCTTCCAGCTACTCTTTATTTCTCTAACCTGTTTCTGGACTTTAAAAGCAAATTGGAACATATAGAATTAAGGATTTATTTGAATCAGGGCAACCAACTGCTGTTAGACAAACAGAAGAGAAGACAAGGCAAATAAGAAACCAGTTGGCTACAAATAAAGCAAATAAGGAGCTTTGCAATACAGTTATATAAAAAATCTGGCCCTATAAGACCATTAACAGAATTTGAACAACACCGTGTACTGAAAAGATAAAAATAAAAGGATAGGATTGACGTCATTAGTATATAAATGTGTCATTGAGAAAGAACATGGTAAGGGCAGGGGAGGCAAAGCATTTTGCCAAATGAATGTAAACATTAATATACCTGAAGAGGTTTGGACAGGAATATGGAATAAATATCCATATAAATTAATATCAGCTAAAACAAACGGTTCTGAAAGTTGTTCACAGATGGCATCTGTATGCTATGAAGCTACATAAAATCAACGGGGATATATCAGATAAGTGCTGGAGGCTGTCTAAAAATGTCCCCAATTATGAGCAGCAGATCTTTTATTTTTTTGGATTACAGGTATTTAAAATAATTGCAAAGAGGTGTGCTTTGTTCCAAGTAAAAGAGAAAGGGGAATGCTTATCTAAGATGATGCAGGACATGTGCCCATTATATAAAAAGAGTATCGTTTCTTAGTGAAATTGTGGCTTTTCTGCGTGCAAAGGTCTGCACATATAATTGACGAAGATTTCTGTCATAGATTGATAGCCATACCGCATAAAATTTCCACTGGGTGGTGCTGTTCATCCTGCCTTATGCACAGTCCTAGGTGTGCAGTTGTAGAATAGAAAGCCACCGTACACTTCTAAGCATGAGTGTATATTTGGGCTTTTTATTCTTTTCAGTTATGATTCCCACCAGGGTGACTTCAGCTTGGCTTTTCCCTGCTTCTTTACCTCTCTATGCAAATAGAAATCTTAGAAGCCAGACCAATTTTGTGCATATTTGGTAGTTGTTCATAAAGGCTTCAAAACCTGGTGTAGGAGCTAGTACAATGCTAGGACTCAGTGAATCGTAGTTCAATTCCCCACGGCGCTGTGGAAACTCCCTGAGGAGTGGCAATGTTAAACCACTCCTTGAATATCTCACAGACATACCTTGAAAAATTTACCGTGTTTCCTCGAAAATAAGACAGGGTCTTATATTAATTTTTGCTCCAAAAAACACATTAGGGCTTATTTTCAGGGGATGCTTTATTCCCCCCCCCCATGTACGACAATCAACGTTTATTCAAATACAGTCCTGTCATCATCTTCTGGTTGCTGCCCAAGCGTGGAGGGCGGGGTTTCACTTAACTAGGGCTTATTTTTGGGGTAGGGCTTATATTACGAGCATCCTGAAAAACCATACTAGGGCTTATTTTCAGGTTAGGTCTTATTTTCAGGGAAACAGGGTATTAGGGTTGTTGTAAGTAAGAAGCAATTTGATGAGGGCACACAGTAATAAATAAAGATATCACCTAGCCATAGGTTTAGAAAGAAATCAAACCATCAAGATGAACAATGAAAATTAAAGTAGAAATGAAGCACCTCTTTTTGTTGGAACACGCAATTTGGAATTCAGAATTTGAAGTAGGAATTACAGTGGTGCCTCGCTTGACAAGGATAATCCGTTCCAGCAAAATCGCTGTAGAACGAAATCGCCATCAAGCGAAAGTAAAAAGCCCATTGAAATGCATTAAAACCCGGTTAATGCATTCCAATGGGCGAAATACCTCAGCGTCCAGTGAATATCCTCCATAGGGCGGCCTTTTTCCGGTGCCTGTAATGCGAGGAATCCATCCTAACACACAGCAGGGAGCCATTTTGCACAGCGGGTGGCCATTTTGAAAACCCGACGATCAGCTGTTTTGATCATCGTTAAGCGAAAAATCGGTTCCTGAAGCAGGGAACCGATCATAGTGAAACAAAAAAAACCCATTCAATCATCATTTTGCGATCGCAATAGCGATCACAAAAACTAGTTGTCAAGCGATTTCCTCATCTAACAAGGTAAATATCAAGCGGGGCACCACTGTACAGCACTTCAGATTCGTAATTTTAATAATTTGGGATTTTCAGAGACACATAACGATTGCAATCAATATGAAGACTATGTTGTCATTATTTTCCTGTTTAAAACACACACACAAACAGACAAGACATTTTTAAAGGATTCCCTGTGTCCTCCAACATCGAAAAGAGTGCACGCCAATAGCCAGTAATGTGAAGTTTCAGGAAATTGTAATAGGCATAGTGATTGAATCCTAAACAGTAGGAATACCAGCAGGAAATGCCAACAGCACTGGGGAAGCAGAGGAAAGATCACACTGGTGAAAAGATCTGACAGGTTACCAAGAGTGATTAAACCCTCTGACCATGATTCTTCCCCCCCCCCAACCTATATATGAACAGACAAACATTACAGGCACCACTTTCAACACATTGCAGGTGACTATGAGGCTCTAAGAAAGAAGGTGAAGGATTTGGGGATACAGTTAGTTAATTCATCACAAAATGAATAACCAGCTGCACAGACAGTGTGCTTGGAAAAGATGCCATTTCTTGGACTGTGGTCAGCAGTTTGATGAAGATGGACTTCTAGACAGAGATGAGTTATATCTCATAGGGGTGGGAAGAACAGGCTTGTTAACTGCCTCACAAGTTTCCTCAAAGGAGTTTTTAGCTGACAGGGCTACTATTTCAGAGAGCAAAAGAACACCAAGTACTAGGAACAATCAGATCTATGGTATGATGGTGTTGTGATGTGGAAAGCCACCAGCAAGCAGGAAAAAAAATACAGGGAAGAAGCTGGAAGGAATCGCCAATTGGAGCAGATGTTTCTAAAGCAATGCATGGAAACAAATGAGGTGGACATGTGTTGGGGGAGAATATGATTTAATAGGCATGCCTTCAATCTGGTAGAATGAAGATCATGAATGGAATGTAGTAACTGAAGGTGTGATGTGTTCCAGAGGAACACTGCTGCTTAGTTCCAAGACAACAAATGTCTGTAACCAGAAGTAAGAGTCTATCAAGAGTGGACTCACAGACAGGAGTCTGGAATCAAGCTGTAAATTATGTCCATACAAGTCTGATGGCAGAGAGGGAGCAAACAGGAGCAGATTTTCTTTTGGAGTCTCCTCGTAATGAGGGTGAAAGAGGAGAGTGCAAAAAACGGTCTGAAGCTCAACATAAAAAAACCCAGTAGTCACAAAATTAAGAGACGCCTGCTTCTTGGGAGGAAAGCTATGACAAACCTCGACAGCATCTTAAAAAGCAGAGACATCACCTTGCCGACAAAGGTCCGCATAGTCAAAGCTATGGTTTTTCCAGTAGCAATGTATGGAAGTGAGAGCTGGACCATAAAGAAGGCTGACCACCGATGAAATGATGCTTTTGAATTGTGGTGCTGGAGGAGACTCTTGAGAGTCCCCTGGACTGCAAGGAAAAACAAACCTGTCAATTCTGAAGGAGTGCTCACTGGAAGGACAGATCCTGAAGCTGAGGCTCCAGTACTTTGGCCATCTCATGAGAAGAGAAGACTCCCTGGAAAAGACCCTGATGTTGGGAAAGAGTGACGGCAAGAGGAGAAGGGGACGACAGAGGATGAGATGGTTGGACAGTGTCATTGAAGCAACCCACATGAATTTGACACAACTCCGGGAGGCAGTGGAAGACAGGAGGGCCTGGCGTGCTCTGGTCCATGGGGTCATGAAGAGTCAGACACAACTTAATGGCTAAACAACTACAAATCAAAATGCCAAGCATTGCAGACAAAGAAAGAGAATAGTAATAGGAGACTTCAGCTACTCTAGTGTTGTTTTCAATCAAACTCTAGGAAGGACCTATGATTCAACATTTTGCTTGCTGACCATTTCCTTTTACAGAAGGTGGGAGAAGCAAGACCAGGAAGAACTGTCTTGGACCTCATTCATAGGGAAGACGTGGCAATGAGGTTGAAGTAATGGGACCCTTGGGTGGGAGTGACCGTGTCCTCTTGCATTCATTGTACAGAAGATGGGGGAAACTAAGTGTAGCGAGACATGCCCTCTGAGCTTTAGGAAAGCAGATTTCAATGAACTTAAGTCATTTTGGGGGGAAAAGTATTTGTTGTTGTTTAGTCATTAAGTCGTGTCCGACTCTTCGTGACCCCATGGACCAGAGCACTCCAGGCCCTCCTGTCTTCCACTGTCTCTTGGAGTTGGGTCAAATTCATGTTGGTAGCTTCGATGACACTGTCCAACCATCTCATCCTCTGTCGTCCCCTTCTCCTCTTGCCTTCACACTTTCCCAACATCAGGGTCTGGGAGAAAGGTATAGTTTTAAATAAATAAATAAACTTGAAGAAATCACAAGATCAGGAAAAAAATCAAATAATCCAATTGAATTGAGTCCACAGTGAATGGCCACCTTTTAAAAGGGAAGATGTTGAAGTCACAAATGCATACAGTTGACACGGAGAAAAAAAGGGGGAGACCTCTAAATAACCTGTGGGTCGCATAGGGAGCTCTCACATGAATGGAGAGGAGCAGGTATCAAAAACGGCAAGGGGAGCAAATTTCCAAAGGAAAGTGAAAAGGAGTAGCTGGTATTTTTAGGAAGAAGGTTACGCTCAGAACAAACTCAGACTTGCAAAAGACTGTTTTTATTATTATTATTTATTTTAAAATTACACCCCCCCCCCAAAAAAACCACCATCACACACACAAAAAAAGCCAAATAGATAACAAACATTTTATATAAAAGTTATCTATTGACAACATCACCTACATAATGAACAATATAACAGAATGTGCTCCACTCCCCCCCCCCTTTGACCGTTTGGATATATAATAATTTTGTACGCCATGCAGAGTCTCCTATCCCTTTCAGATTCTTGCAGTGGTACACCATCTTTCTCAATAATAATAATAATAATAATAATAATAATAATAATAATAATAATAATAATAATAATAATAATAATAAAACAACATTAGCACTGCAGAGCTG